GTTGGTCCGGCAGGGTTGGGGTCACACCACCTGCACCTAGGGCTGTGCTGATCAGGCCCAGTGCCAGAGAGTGAGCAAGCATGCCCTGCATGCCCCTTAAATAGATGAATTCGCAGGAGCGCTGATTGGCTTGGCCCTGGTCAGAGGTGGGTCTGACAAAGGAAAAGGGAGAGCTTTTCAGGTAGCTTCTTAACGGACCGTCTCCATAGCCCTTCCCCCATTACCAAAGACACAACCAAAAACCCCTCACAGAAAACCCAGTACAGTCTGTGGAGAAGAATCCTGTATGCAGGATATAGCTTGGTAAATGTATAGGATCCTAAATAGAAAAGTCTGTGTATACTTCTCATTGAACATTTGCTTACTGATTCATTATAAAGAGATTTGAGTTGAGATCTGTGAATGAAAAAATCATACAAGTGCTTTTTAGCAACACTCTTATCTCACTCAAACTGTGCTTTTAGGATCAATTTCTAGCATGCCTGTGGATTAGAGGAAAATACAGAAACAAAGGAACGCAGAAGATTGCAGCTACAAGAATAATTTTAAAAATCATCTAGTCTAAGATGACACAGTTTATGGTATGCAAGCAGGAATAGTACAGGCCGGTTTTGTCATATGTGCAGCAGAGTTAGGTATAAAGCAGAATGAGTTGGGAACACTGCATCTCTGAGTTGCAAATTCTTCCACTTCCCACTGAATTACAAACTGAGTATCAGGACCTGCCTGGCTTGGCACTCTGCCTTCTGGGAAAGTGAAACGCAACAACTGTTGAATAGTACTTTTCCTTTGGCGTCCTTGTTTCTTACAGTGTTTCATGTCTCTGTTTTTCTTTCTCAAATCAACTTGATAAAGTGCACCTGAAAGTTTGGAAGTCTCCATAACTAGGCCATTCTCTTGCACCAGAGAAGTCAGTTGTAGCTGCATGGTTTCTGACAACTCTTCATACACCTTCTTCAGAAATGTCAGTTGATGGAGATTCCACCACTTCCCCAAGCAGTTGCAGTGTTCCAGTAGTCAAGCTTCCAGAAAGTTTTCAGAACTCCTGATCTAATTTAAACACCGTTTTGCAAGAAATTTCAGCTTTTTGTTTCTTGTCTTATCCATGGTATATAAGGAATGCTGTTCAGTACATTTTTCTTTGTACTTTTGTGAGCTTGATGATTGTTACATTTCTTTTTCCAAGTTGTCCTCTATGATAAAGGAAGCCCAACTTTTTCAGCATTTTTTTGTTTGGATGAGAGTTTTCTCTGCCTCTGATCTCTGGCTGGGAAATTCAAGAAACTTAGTCTCCTGCTGCATCCTTGGGCCTTAGGAGCTATAAGTGGGAGCTATAAGTAAGTGGAGAATGGAAGTTTTACTATAAATGTCTCTCACATGGCTATTCTTTCTTTATGATGTATGGTAAGCCCTGGAATTTTTGTTCCCAGCACTGAATTTTACATCACTGAAATCAATAATATTTTTAGCTGTGGTGGTCCTTGACTCTAGAGAATCAGTGTGCTGAGCATGTTCTGAAAGCTGGCACATTGAGCTAATGTTTCCTGATGAAATCTAATTCACAGGTTGTATTCATATGCTTTGTTACTTCAGGGAGCAAATTGAAAATATCTGAAGCACACAGATGTTTCTTATCTATTTGATAACAAAATATATTTGTTGCATTTTTATTATTTTTGCTTTCTAAGTTCAAATGAAGAATGAGTTTAAACGAAGAACGAGTTCTTCATAGAAAGATGAGTATTGACAGAAATCTGATTATATGGTTGTAACAAAGGTAGTAACTGAAAATATGAAAGGCCTTTCTAAACTGATTTTTGAGGCAACCATCCTGTGTTTGAATCATTAAAAAGCAGTGATAAATGGGATTGTGGTAGAGCATGATTATGATAAATGCTTGCTCATGCTTATAAAGATTTATTCTGTATGAAGAAATATACTGAAAGACCACATACCTGTATTAAATGAGCCTGCATACCATGGAAGGGCACATGGCCACCTGTCCCTAAAACCATTTCCTATTAAGGGAAGACAAATTTGACTGAGCTACTTTATGCTTCATATCAACAGAGAGCCTAAAGGTGGCATGTGATTAAGTAACAGTTCACTGTGGCATATGAGATTTAATGCAATTAAAATCACAAAGCCCTTCTTTTAATTTGCAGAGCATGGAAAATAAGTGGCAATGCTGAGTTATAAATTAACATGGCTTGATGCTATTACAAGCATTTGATTATTAATGAAATGAATTTATTCATAGTCTGATGTCTGTAAGTTAAACAGTCTAGGAAAAATTAATTGTAGGAAATTAATTCAAACTGAAGCAAGTCTTGATGCAGGTGGTAAGGTTAACTGCTCAGTAAGAGGTAACTCCAGATTAAATACTAAAAATTAATGATACTAGGAAAAATTAGGTATGTAGATAAACCAAAGGCCTCATCTGAGGTTGAGTGACGTCTTAGACTTCTGCTTTTAGTGAACACGAGTTTCAATAACCACAGGCACAAAATGAATGGTTCAGTGCCTTTGGCTCCTTTTTGGCTTCTCAGCCTAAATGACCAGGTATTAATGTACTAATTTCATCTGAGAGTGGCTTTTGGATTAGTCTAGAACAGAATTTAAACTCTGCAGTTGAATGTATTATGAAATGCTTCATTGCCTTTTTTTGGTGTCCCTTTATACTTAGGTTGCACCAAGTAATGGATTTAATTTAAACTTTTTAATTTTTCATTTCTCATTGAAGAAATTATGCATGAAAAATTGAAGTAGGACAACCGTCTGTGGTTTAAAAGGCCCATCATAATTACATGTATGAAAGCTGAAATTGGTTGACAGAAAGATATAATGTGTTCTTAACAGCTGGCTGGCATTTTGTCCCTTTCTCTTCTGTGAAGTCACCTTGTAGGCTATCAGCCTTGCCATTCACCTTCCACTCCAGGCTTGTGAAAATAGTGAAGCTGTAGCTGATTTCCAGTTTGATCTTAAAGGGCCTGAAAACTGTGAGACTAGGTTGATAGAAACATGAAAAAAAGAAAAGTTTACCTGTTAAATCCTCTAACACAGTTATGTGTCCCTGAAAAATGTGTGTTCACTTAGGGAATTTAGTCTTGACCTCATAATGCACACCTCAACATGAAAGAGTAGTCTGAAAACTGAGGCAATTTTGGATGCGCTGATATCAAAACAAAAATTTCAGCTCGTTTAACAAAAGCAGAAGATGCTGTGTCAGCTACGGCAATGTCCTAGATTGAAAGCAGGGAAAAAAACCCAAACAAATAATGGGTTCCAGCAAGTTTAAGTGTCATTTTAAGTGGCTTGCTACAGTGGAGTAACTGCATCAATGGACAAAAGAAGAGCTATGGATGTCATCTGTCTGGATTTCTGCAAGGCCTTTGACACGGTCCCCCACAACATCCTTCTCTGTAAGTTGGAGAGGTATGGATTTGATGGATGGACTGCTCAGTGGATAAGGAATTGGCTGGATGGTCACATCCAGAGGGTAGTGGTCAGCGGCTCGATGTCCAAATGGAAGAGAGTGAAAAATGTCCTTCAAGGGTCCATACTGGGACCAGTGCTGTTTAATATCTTCGTTAATGATACTGACAGTGGGATTGAGGCCACCCTGAGCAAGTTAGCAGACAATACCAAGCTGAGTGGTGAGGTTAATATACCAAAGGGAAGGGATGCCATCCAGAGGGACCTGGACAAGCTGGAGAAGTGGGCCCAGGTGAACTTCATGAGGTTGAACAAAGCCAAGTGCAGGGTCCTGCACCTGTGTCAGGACAATCCTCATTACTGATACAGGCTAGGAGATTATGTACTGGGGTAAGGTTAGTGTTTTATAAATGAACGTCCATGGTTCTCTATCTCTCTGCCTACTTCCCGAACAGTAACTTAAAAAGGTAGAAAACGTTAGATATTTTTGTGTAGTGTTAAATAAAAGTATTACTTCAAAATTATGCTCCCAAATAAAATTAGTAACATTACATTGTGCTCTGACCTAAACTTGTGTTATGCTGCTCTCATGATGGAACATGCCTGATGGGTCCTAAGTGATCTGACACTGAATGGTCAATCCCTTTCCACAAACTGATAGCCAGTTGTTAAATTATTACTTCTCCTTACTTCATTTTGTTTATAAAAGCTCTGGATAAAATTCTAGAGGCTTGGAAGTTCCATACCGTGTCTGGTGAAATTCTGACACATATACAGATGAAACACTGAAAAGTGGAGATAAATGTGATGCATGTGGTGATCCCCACCGTGGATCATAGGTGAGAGGGGTTATTGAAAGGAGTTACATTTTTCAGAGCCTTGTGTAAGATGGGAGTTATTTCTGAGCAGTTACCCAAGATTTAAGGTGGTTAAAGTGTGTTTGATTGCACTCAAATACTGAAAACCTTCGGAAGGAGTACATTGTAGAGAAGGGCTAGCTTAAGTCTGGCATTACTCAAATGCAAAGACTGGGGTTGAGGATGTGCTGGGGCATAAATAATTGAGATGTGGTGCACAGACTGTAGTCTCTTTAAGAATCCCTCCTGCTGGTGTATGGCCCGTCCTCACATTTCTACAGTAAACCTGTAATATAATGGAGGGTTTTTGGATGCCATGATTTGCTCCGATTTTAAAATGACAGTTTTGATTTGTATTTATTTTATTCCAAAGATGAATGAATGATCATTCAGTTAAAAGAATAAAGTGGTGTTCAGTTTCGCTAGGCAGGTGTCAGATTGCGTGTCTCAAAATTCTCACGCATGTTTTTTTCCTTTGTCTTTAAAGATGTGTATGAATGATGCATTTCACTTCTTAAAAATGGCTGCCTAGTTGGACCAAGAACAGCTCCGTGTTCTTAGGAAAGCAATGATTTTGCACCAAGAACAAGTTTTCATATGTAGCCTTTGACTGTTAATTACTGTCTCTTCCACTTAGAAACGTCTAGATTTGAAAAAAATGTTGTCTATGTTGTGAAGTCACTAATGCCTCCTCTGTGCTGCCAACAGATGTTGATGAATGCATATCAAGCCCATGCTCTAATGGAGACTGTGTCAACACACCTGGTTCCTATTACTGCAAGTGCCACACCGGTTTCCAGAGAACTCCTACCAAGCAGGCTTGCATCGGTAAGAAAGTTTGCTTCACATCTGCAAGCATTGCAGATGTTCTGACCCTTTATGTCAGATCCCACTGGAGTTCAAAAAATAGTTAGCAATGCAATTTCAGTAAATCCCAACAGTTTTTGTATTAATCAGAGCTCTAGTTCTTGACTACCATTCAATTTGTTCTGTTTTTGTATCCCTTATTCTGGAATATTTGTCACTTGGCCAGGTAATTCCCTAGCTGGGAGTTCTAAAAAAGTCAGGAAATAAACTGTTTGTACGACAGGTGTATGCTTTTGTGTGTACCTACATGAATGTATGAGTAGGCTTTTAAAGGTATTCATATAGTAATTGCTGAGCTTCACAAAATGTAGCATTTATTGTACAAGTCTGTATAATATTTTTCCTAACTCTGATGCAATGAGAATAAATTCTTAGCCATCTTTGCAAATTTTTTCTAAGTAAAATTAAGTAACATGCCAGTATTTTTCAAAGCACTAATTGTTACTATATATATATATATTTATCTTACAGTAATACTCTGATTGTGTGATTATTTTTTTTTCCTTAGATATAGATGAGTGCATCCAGAATAGTGTTCTTTGTATAAATGGTCGGTGTATAAACACCAATGGAAGTTTCCGGTGTATTTGTAATTCTGGGTTTGAACTGACAACAGATGGAAAAAGTTGTGTGGGTAAGAACTCTTCTAAATAATGGGGCAGGCATTAGCTTGGTGATTCTAGAAATTGTACTTCATACTACAATTAAAGATCATTAAGGATTATGTTTTTTGAAATAAGGCATGACCTGAGGTGAACTTACAGTCCCTGTGTTCAAATAGTTATTGTACGTAACTGCATGGTTTCAAAGAAAACTTGAGGTAATTTTTGGTTTTGAACACAAACTACACCTCTCCTCAAGAGTCCCGGGTAACTTAGTGCCATGACTAACATTTTTCCTTAAAGCTTCATAGCAAGTGGTCCATATATCAGCACTGCTGAAGAAATAACTATTTTTCATTTTGACCACACTGTGTCAAAACAAAATTCCTAGATAAACAACGAGCCCTTTATTGTCAGGTGATTGAAACTATTTATCCTTTCATGTAAGAAAGAAAGATGCACCATGTTCATCAATACGTAGTCTGCTGAAATACACAAAGTAACTGATCACAATGGGAAAAGAATTTGCTCCCTTGTTGACAGAGCAGAAACTCTTCGGATACTTCATCAGAGTTATGAGTAGAATTTAATGTCCAAGGGAAGGAATGTGTCACGTCAGTCCTGTTTTATTTTTTTTTTAACTCTCTCATCTTCTGAAAGGTGAAGAACTATAAGCCGTTTTCTTTGCAATATTTTGCAGACCATGATGAATGTACCACTACAAGCATGTGTTTAAATGGTATGTGCATAAATGAAGATGGGAGTTTTAAATGCATCTGCAAACCAGGATTTGTTCTGGCTCCAAATGGACATTACTGTACTGGTATGTAGAACTGAGGAGTAACACATTAAGATAATCTTCATTGAAAACAGCTTTTCCTGTCCATTCATGCAAGAACTGCAATCTCCTCACATGCATTTAATGTCATGCTAATACCTTACTGACTCATTAAATTTCTTAAGCTATCTAGAAATAGGTCTTTAACTTACTGAAAGCAGTAACTGAATTATTCAATCGTATTGTGACAGCTACAACAGGTGATAAATTAGCTTTTGAAAAGTCTTGGAGCACTGTACATGCAGCAGAATATGCAAGCCCTTCATGAAGTGGTAGTGAGCAGCAATATGGGAAGTTTAAATGGTTTTACACTGGTGAATACACAAGTATTTTTTCTGCATCATTATACAGGCAATTCAGAGTGCATAACACTTAAGACATCATATTTGCCACATAGCATTACAAACTTTTAAAAGTGAGGTTATTTAAAACTTATATAAACCTTTTAAGAATAGAGTCTGATTTAGCTTCAGTTTAAGTAAACTAAGGGAAGATACCTGTTGCCACCAGTAGAAGCAGGTTTGGGCTTGAGTCATTTCTAGTAAGGGCAAAATCATCTAAAGTGTTAGTTTTCTGATTTGAAGTTGAACCATTTTTATTGATTGTGGGTTTATTTATATACATGCAGCTAGGCTGTTGACTTAGAAATTCATGGCCACTGAAAAGTCCTTTGAAATTAAAATTTACCGTCATATGGGTATTCTGTGATTACTGCTTCCTCAGTCACACTTTAAAGCAAAACTATAGTATCATGGGATGGACTAAGGGGAAAATTTATCATTAATTTTGCTTAATGTAGAATCTGGAGTGCCTTTAATCCTACAGTTTTTCTGGTTTCGGTTTGGTTTGGTTTTTGGTTTTTGTTTGTTTGTATAGTTGGAATTTTGATTATTTAGTGTAATTCCAATATGAAATTTTTATTAGTAACAAAACAAGATATGCTGATGATTCATCTGCTATCCTAAAGTCATTTGATAATACTCTAAGAATACTAATTGTAATCTTACTTAAAAAGGCAAATAGATTGTTGAATTGTGTTGCCTCCTGATAGATATTGATGAATGTCAAAAATCAGGAATTTGCATGAATGGTCATTGTGTCAATACTGAAGGATCCTTTTGGTGTCAGTGTCCACCTGGCTTGGCTGTTGGAGTTGATGGTCGTGTATGTGTAGGTAAGTAAAAATTTTTTTTTCATTGAAAAGCAAGGGAGATTATCGGTAGTCAAATTAAAGAAATACATCAGATTACATCCTTTTAGATAATACTGGCATCAAATCACACAGGATCTGTTCTAGGATAAATCTGGAGTATTTGTCTTTTGTTCTGCTATGTGTTCATGTTCATATATGTGCATGTATATATATGTAAAAATACATATATTTACATATATATATAAAAATATATATATTCATACTTATATTCAGTTGTGCATCATCCACTGCAAATCAGTAAAACAGATGCATGTCTTCTTGTGACACTAATATTTTTGGACTCTCCATTTAATTTCTTTCTCTAATCTGAAAACATTTTTTTTCTTCCTGTACCATAGTGTGAAAAAATAAAAAGCTATGGGAGGAGGAATAGTGAAAACTAGTTAGACTTGTTTTTGTGAACTCAAGTAAGACTATTAAAATTATTAGGAAATCTTGTGTTGTGCTCTTCCATAAACCTAGCGTTAAAAGACAAGAAGCTTAAATTGCTCTGTGGAATTGGAGTGTCACCACCTCTTGTTTACCTGTTATTCCTATAAATTCATTTGTTTTAGAGGCATTTCTAGTCTACTGAATAATCTTTTGTCATATAATTTGAACTGCAGGCTCTTTTCCCTTCAGTAGCTACTGGCTGACAGTTAAAATTCTTCACCCAACTCCACCAGGAGCTCTAGCATATCTTCAAGGAGTTGAGATTCTCATCAGAGAGAAATGGAACTTTTGCAACCTATTAAGAATAAAAAAGGGTAGAGGGCAAGTGGTTTTTATAGATTGATGTTGCTGACAGTGGAGAGGAATATACAATTTACAGAAGTCTCTGAGAGTGATGGAACTACATGCATTAGGGACTGCAATACTGCAGATACTTCCTTAAACCAATTTAAACCACAGAAGATACCATCTTTCCCTTTTTCCACATATCAGAACATCAGTTCTGTATACCCTAAGTTTCTTCTCGCCTAGCTCATGAATGTATATATCATCATATTGGTGACCCAAGGCTCAGTTAGTGGATAGGCATGGAATTAAGCTTCAGTGGGCAAATGTGCCTGGAATGAGGCCTCATAGAGTGAAAAGGGCACCTCTGGCAGCGTCACAACACATTAGCTGCACTTTTGGTACATAATGTTGTATGCTAGATGCTACTGGTTACTGGACTGCCATTGGAGCTGGTATTGATCAGGCCAGCTGGTTCACGATTTTGTGTTTGACAGGTTCAGGAAGCAGTGAAGGCAGAGAGAAAACCTTTGGCTTAGCCTGCAATAGTCATATGTATTAATCAGTGGTATGGCTGTTCTTGCTGATGGATGCATACGTGTCTTATCTGCATGTGTCCAGATAGAGGAAAGATGGACTTTATCAGTGTTTGGAAGTTATCTCACACAAAAAGATGTGAGATACTACTTCCTTGTGTTGCTATTATCAATTCATTTAGAGTAGATTTTTAAATTTTGCAGAAGTTAATAATTCTTTAAAGTAAAATCTAGTGCAAGTGTTCTTATTAAGTGCCTGCGCAAGCTGGCCCTCTCTGTTACCACTTCAGTTAAAAAAATTCATGAAAAAACACAGAATGGCTTAAAAAATAGGCTAATAAAAAACCAAAACACCTTCTCATTCTCTCATTTGGAACCCAAATATTTGTTGCTTTAATAAATGAGTTTTTTAGTAAGGAAAACTGCACTTTTCCTTACTTAAAGATTTTCCTGCACTTAAAGATTGAACCAACAATAACAAGGTGTGTTATCTCCCATGTATTAGCCAGGTTGTTTTCTTCTGGTTTAGTAAAGGTTTGGAGAAAAGCAATGAAAAGATAAAGGAACTAGAAAAAGCTTGGTGTACTGTTTTTAATATAAGAATTTCACTGCTTAGTGGCACAGCAGCAAAACCAGATTTGAGTACAAGCAAAGTACCTTTTTTTTTGTGGTTCAAGTTGGCCTCATCCTAACCCCTGTCAGCAATACAGCTGCAAAGAATCAATGTAGTCCTCAATTTTCTGTGCTTTCGTTTACTTAATGCTGCCACAGTTCTTGCAGCTGAAGGTTTCACAAGTTGGCCATCAACTGTGAATGCTATTTTTTGTTGGAAAGTGTTCAGCTCCACATGTCACATGGTTTTAAGGTTTACCATAAATGCTTAAATTTTCAACAGAAAATTTCCTTAATATGACAAAAATCATAAGGCAGAATCATGAATGATTTGGAAAATTAATTTTAAAAAGATAATGTAATTATTCCAGGCATAAAGTAACATAGGAAATTCCAGATACTACATAACAAAAATGTCCTCAAACACGACCTTTAGAATAGAATTTCTGAGACAATCTGCTGTTCAGAATTTTTTTGTGTGTGTATACACACACACACATATATACATGTACACATGCTGTGTTAAGTACAGGAATTCTCTGTCTAACTGTTCTGTCCTATATATTACATGAGCTAAATAGTACTTTTCAGACATTCTGGCTACTAGAAGCATACTCGTAGTCTGAAAGTTAATAAGTTACATGGGGCTTCTTTTTAACAATACTCCTGCAAATGTGCTAGGCAATTAGCAAAAGTATAAAATCAAAGAGCCTACAGTCCAATTCTCTCATTCTTACTTTCAGCTGTATTGTACTTCTGAATAGTGGCATTGATTCTGGTGGGACTATTCATAGAATATATTGCTTTTTCATTTAGTATTAGTAAGTGTGACAGATTCAATCACAAAATGTTATACAAATTAAGAAAAAAAAATACAGCAAGAGGGAAAAAATGCTTAGACAGTTAGATAAATGTTCAGAGCCAAACTAGTATTTGCAGTATTGACAAGGATGATATATTAAAAACTGTGTTTTGGCCTGGTTCATAAAGATGCCTGAAACAAGGAGTATTTCTGTCACTCCAACAAGTGTCTGTAGAAGTATAGGAGTCAAAATGAAAGCCTATTCACCCCCACATGTATTCTACAGTTCTCAACCACACAATTAAGTAAACTGTCATGTGCTTGCTAGAAGATCTCCAATATTATCCTCTAAGCAAATATGCAAAAGATATCTAACCCTAGAATCACCAAAAAACAAAACAGCAAAATAGCAGAACAAAATACATAAAAAGCAGTCTAAGACATATTCTCATAGTTTTTGGGTAAGCATAGCAGATGGTTATACCTACAAAGTAAGGCTGAAGGCCTGCCTTGCAATGTGCATCTCACTCCATCTCACTGGTCAAGTTGGTCAAATTGATTTATATGACTAAATCAGCTGCAAGACTGGCAATATGCACATAGTGAGTCCTACATCTGTGTGGCTGTCCTGTGTAATTTTTGTGTTTGGAGAGCTTCCATGTATTATCTGTTTTCTTTGTGTAGTAAGTGGTGGTTTATCCTGACCATCACTTCCAGCCCTCTCCTGGGGGATGGCACTTTAATTTCCGTAGTGGCTTTTCAATCCCAAATCTCCAGAAATTTTTTATACTCAAGTGTTGCTTTCTCCACTACCTAGTTGTGTGTAAGAATTTCTAAACTACTGTTGCTAGCTAGGTATTGGGATCTCTTTGATATCCTAACACTAATTCAGCACTGGTGCCAGTTTAGGTATAAAGATGTTAATTTAGCCATGTCGTGTAAATGCTGTTCTGAACAATCTGCTGAAATTGCATTTCTGTTCAAAATTTGTAAATACAGTAGGAAGCTACCTTCCTTCTTTTGTAAATAGGTAGCCTCCTCTATTTCCTGGCTGGAAAGTCCTGGGCTGCTGATGAGTTATCCTACATGAGGAACCATTTTGGAAGTAAATAAGAGATCTGCATGGTTGTGTTTTGGTTGTAATACTTCTAAAAGGCAAAATTAGTCACCACATGCTGATTCAAGCCATTCTGTGTTTCTTATTGAGAAATGTGTTGATGGATTTAAAAAACTGCTCTGGAGTGTGACTCACCTTTGCTGAGTCCTATGGAATGTTTTTAAATTTGCCGGCAATATGCTAGTTTAGGTGGTTTTAAAGTGCTCTGGAGAAAGCTATAGGAGCTAACCATTTTCAGAATTGGCCTAGATGCCATCAGGATTAATATACAAGAGCAGTACATATATAGCCAATGTAACCATTTTGCCCATTAAGAAAGTATGACTACATTTCACTTAATAGTAAATACATTTAATACATTTCAAATAACAATAAATTAGTTTTTTGCTTGCCATTTCTTAGACACTCATATGCGTAGCACGTGCTATGGAGGCATCAAAAAAGGATTGTGTGTTCGTCCTTTCCCTGGTGCCGTGACAAAGTCTGAATGTTGCTGTGCCAATCCTAACTACGGTTTTGGAGAGCCATGTCACCCCTGTCCTGCTAAAAACTCAGGTGGAATTTTCTGTTTCTTTGATTACTACAGTGAACATGCAGACTTAAAAAAAATCTTGTTCAGATCAAGTTGTTAATTTATTTTATGCCTTAAAAGGAGTAAGTAGGGTACTTAGTGGAATTGTACACTGATTCTGGAAATGGATTCTCCTTCAAAGAAAGATTCTCTGGCATTTTGTGCTCAGTGTTTGGGTCTTTTTGCATTGTAACATTTGAGGTGAATCTAGTTCCAGAGCTGGCCAGACTGTGACAAAATTCAAGACAAAGGATATGAGTATGCTATGGATGAAATTGAGTCCCTGATTTAAGTGTTGACTGTAAGTAATAATACTTCAAAGAGAATAAATGGAGTTTTCTGATGAATCTGTATATTTCATAGTCAAATCAATCCAATATAAAATGGCACATATTAATTTTAGATACTAGTATTTAATTTTATAAGAATCAGTTCTCCAAATAAACCTCAGGATAGATTAAAAAAATAAATAATATAGAATTGTGATCATATATATTGGGCAGTATTTCATTCAGTGTCATTTTCATAGATAGCAGTACTCTAGAAAAAATTAAGAAAAACTGGCTTTATCACTGAAAGCAGTAACAAGGAGACAGTACTGTCAGGACTATAATGAAATTGCTTGAGTGTTTAATTCTTGTTGTCAAATTTCATTTATATAAATATGTGAAAGTTCATGGTGGAACGCTACTAGATATATTTAGCTATATTATCTATGAATAGTTATTATAAGTAAACATTTGGCCTTTTATTAGTTACATCGTAGAAAAATTATTTTGAAAAAAGATCAGGTGGATTTGTTTTAGGATTTAAGAAGGCGAAATGCTGGAAATAACACTTTTTTCCCCAACATCTCTTGCTTCAATTGTAGCTGAATTCCATGGCCTCTGTAGCAGCGGTATAGGTATTACTGCAGATGGACGAGGTATGTTTCACATTAATATAAATGATTCAAGGTTAAAACCAAATATAGTCAGAATTACATTTTTCTTTAACATGCTAGGATAGAGCTTTTTACCTCAAGATTAATGTTTTGATTTTATTTTTTTCATTATCAGCTTACACAATAATTAAATGTTGTCTAAAGAAAATGCCAGAATTAACTTTAATCCAATAAAAATCAAAACCCACCTGAAGTAGTTTCTGTGCAACCTAGTCTAGGTGATCCGGCTCTGGCTGGGGGGTTGGACTGGATGATATTTTGAGGTCCCTTCCAACTCCTAACATGCTGTGATTCTGTATGTGTGTGAAAAAAATGGATTTTGCCTGTATAGAAAAAAAAAAGTCATCTACTTTAGAGTGGATCTGTGTTTTTTTGGTTTTGGTGTTTTGGTTTGGTTTGTTGTTTTTTTTGTTGTTTTTGGTTTTAGAATAGGCATAAGACTGTTCTCCATCATTTGGGATATGATGGAAGCAGCTTGCGTTTGCAGTTGATTTTCAGTCAGCTGCTATTGTAACAGAGCAATTTTTCACTCTAGTCTTGTGTTCACTGCATGGTGGGATCATTTCTCTGGTGAGTCAGAGTTGGAGGGGAACTTACTAAAAAAAAATCCTTCTAAAAAAAGTCCTGAAAGTAAGCACTTGCATTTAGTACTGAAAGCTGTAAAACTCCAGCTCCTTTTACTAGCACCACAGAGAGAGGAGTTTTTAAAATAATAGCTGAGCCATGCCTGAAGTAGGGGCAATGCATGCAGCAGCTGCCAAATAGGTAGTGGGTTGAAGAAGGAATGGTGGAACACAGTATTAAGATTTATTGTTAGATAGTTCCCTGATGATTTAATAAAGTTGCAGCCAAATTAAAACAGATAATGTACACTTAATATTTCCAGACATTTAATTTGAAAAGCTTTTGTCCTTGTTAGCATTAAAGTTCCAGTTGAGGAGAAACATAATCGTTGTACTTAGTAACATCCTACACAACTTTTAAAAGTAATACTATAAGAAATTCTGCTTCTGTTCAGTACTGTAAGTGGATATACATAGATTTTTTTTCTTCTCTGTGAGCTTATTGCTTAACACGTTGCCAAACTTACAAGTAATTTGAGATCCATAGAGTTTGCAAATTCTATCAGTTTTCTTTTCAGTGAATTATGCAAGGTCCATTTGAAGAATCTCTAAATCTCTTGAAGAAATAAAGGCAGTGTACCATAAATATAGAATCAGAGTTATTTGGGTTGGAAAGGACTTTAAAGATCATCTAGCCCAACTCCCCTGCCATGGGCAGCGACATTTCCCACTAGATCAGCCTGTCTTCACAGGGGAGGTGCTCCAGCCTTCTGATCATCTTTGTGGCCTCCTCTGGACCTGCTTCAACAGCTTGATGCCCTTTTTGTGTTGGGACCCCCAGAACTGGACACAGTACTCCAGGTGGGGACTCACCAGAGCAGACTAGAGGGGGAGAATCATCTCCCTCACCCTGCTGGCCACAGTTCACAGAATCACAGAACCACAGAACGTTAAGGATTGGAAGGGACCTCAAAAGATCATCTAGTCCAGTCCCCCTGCCGGAGCAGGATCACCTAGATGAGGTTACACAGGAAGGCGTCCAGGCAGGTTTTGAATGTCTCCAGAGAAGGAGACTCCACAACCTCTCTGGGCAGCCTGGGCCAGGGCTCTGTTACACTCACTGAGAAGAAGTTTCTTCTCCAATTTCAGTGGAACCTCCTGTGTTCCAGCTTGTG